CCACCCTTTGCTGGCCCTGGTGGTGATGGCACAGCTGGCTTGGGGTTTTTGGGGACACATCCCAGGATAACACCTCAGGAACTCGAATCTTTTAGAATTCTTGGAATGTTGTGAAAGAACTCTTTGACTTTTCCAGGCCTTTATCTGGTGATTTTCAGCCCACATTAACTGAGAGAGTCCCAGGGACACCAGTTCCTTGGTTCTGTGCAGTCCTGCTGATGCCAGTGCCTGGCTCTGGAAGTTATGGATATGCTTTGTTTCCCTCTGATCTCCTCAGCCGGTTGCACCAATGGCACATAAAGAGGGGAAAACAAGCTCCCCCTGGTCCTTACTCCTGTTCAGTTTCTCTGCTTATTCAGGAAAAGGATCACATCACTTTTTTATGCAAAGGCATCCCACCAGGACCTCATGTTCTGTTATTTTTCTACTACTATGAATCCTTGATCTTTTCCAGTCACTGCTTTCAAAGACAGTATTCCATTCTGCTGATGAAGTACTTCACTTACATCTGCTCAGACCTAATAAACACTCCAGAACTGGAGGTCCATCAATGTTACTGAAAATACTTGTTTGAATTATCATTTAAGCAGTCGTATCCCTCCCTCATTCAGATGTTGCAGAGCATAAATAATAAGAAACTATTCCAAAGAAATCTGCATTGCAGTCATCATCAAAGTGAGTAAATAAAGAAAAGCTGACAGGACCTCACACAGTAAGCAAATCACTGTGATCTTCACAGAGAAAGGTGAAGGATTTCTTTTTCTTCTTTTCTTTTTAATACAGCTTTTCTTCTAGATTCAGAGGCTTTCATGTTGAATTCAATATTTTTAGCACCCACACGACCATCTAGAATTAAATTGCAGCAGTTCCTTAGCATCTGAGTAAAAAAGCAATGATAGATCACTGTGATTCTCCTGTCCTTGCACAGAATCAAAGAATCATTTACTAATAGACTGAATTGCTTCCACAAGCAGAAATCACACAGCTCCATCTTGTGGAGGATGAGATTCCTCAGGTAACGTCACGGCTCAGTTCAACCTCTGCCTTTGGTAATGATTTAGCCTTAGGTGGTTTTCAATCCAGGGTTTTACTTACTGCAGAAATTTTCTTTCATGTGCAGTTACACACCTTCCCCAAGAGCAGGAACACTCTGCACAGTGTTTTTACTTACATTCTCCTGCTTCATTTTATTTTCCCATAACATCCTCCCAAACGGGTCCATGCTTCAACAGTTCATGTTTGTACCAAGTGGTGCAGAACCAGCTATTTAATTTTTTCTGTTCTCCTGTGAGAGGTTGCAGAAGTGTCCTCAGTGAACACACCATGCATTAGTACTAAAAATGTTTGATTTTCAGCCTAGTGGTCCTTCTGAGCAGGAAGCATCTGCAATGCAGTTTGGATGACACAAAAATGCAGAGCAGCAGAGTTTGTCTCATTCATGTAACTCACAACCCTAATCTGTAATGTTTGCATAATCCAATGCTATTAAAGTCAACCCTGTCAGATGAACCAGGTTACTCTCCACAACAAAAATTTGCTACTCTTAACAAAGAATTGTTACTCTCCACAACAAAATTTTGACTATACATTTTACTTAAGGAGAGCACATTAAAACATGTTTATCACCACAGGTCTACAAGCTGCAGTTCCCCAAGGCAAGAGCAAGTAACTCATTGTCAAGGCTTCACAAGATATTTTGATGTTTTGAACTCTACTTTGTGTTTGGGGCAGAAGGTATCTCTCAAAAGTCTGATGCAACACTCCTCTATCAGATTCTCCCAGCACACATTCACAGAAGTTTTCTGAAAAAGCAGCAAGTAATGGGACTGCTGGGACTGCTCACAGGTGACTCTGGGAACTTATTTCCCATTAATTTACAACTGAAACGTGTGAGGGTTCAAAAATGACCATAAACATTCCCTCAAGTCTTCTAATTTAATTAAAAGCATAAATGATCCTAAGTATTTTCATCTTTTAAATTAGTTTTAAATTAATTTTCAGTGTGAGAGCCAGAAGTCCTAAGAGAGAAAGTAAGGAATTGCTCATAGGAGCTTCTACCAGATCTGCATGATGAATGTCAACAAAATAACCACAACCAGCTGCTTATTAAAATACTGGTTTGGACTACAACAGCCAGAGACTGCCTGAATTAACACATTTAGGCAAAAAATGCAGTAGAGAAAAATCTCCTTAAAATAATCCAAACCCTGTGTTTTTAATTAACATGCTGGGACTTAAGGGGGGCAAAAAACAGAATAGCATCTTGATTGTTTCCCTACAAAGGATATTCCATGCCCCTATTGAGATGATTCATCACCACTTCACTCCCCTGAATTCATCTTCCATACTGAGAAACATTATGGCATTTCTCCCTCCTGGTAGAAGTCAAAATAGCAGCTCTCTAGATGTGAGTGACAAGAAAAAATACCTCCTCTCTTCTGCTAACTCTTCTTTATTGTATGAAATTTCAGGAGCAGTATTGACTTGATTTCTTTTTATTAAGTCTTGAAGTGATTTTTGTTTCTCTGAGAAGCATTAGTATTTCTCTGAAACACTGAAACCCAAAATCTACAGAAAGGATGAAGAGAAAGAACCAAAGGAAAAGGCCTTTCAAGGTTCACACCCCACCAAGAGCTGTCAATCCTGACAAGTAACAGCTCCCTCTGACCGTGGGTGGATGCAACAGTTCATCTTCATCCACTCAGCCTTTGGGCTGTGCTGCACAACCTGCCAGGAATGTTGGCAATTAGTGCCAGTCAGACAGGTCTGTCTGTGATAGGGACACCCAGCAGCAGATACAGGGCTGATCCTCTCAAACCACTTTGCTTCTCTATCTAAAGACCTTTGTGTGGCTTGGTAACCTTCAGTTACTGCCAAGATTAGCCCCAGAGACACTGAAAACATATTCCTTCATCAAAAACCCCTCCATTGTGCAGCTTTAGCTGGAAGTTCTCTTGGGCTCTTCAAGAAAGGACCAAGAGACCCTGCCAGAAATACAAAGTCATTTGTCCAGTGGGGTTACAATTATTTCATTCCTCAAAAGCAGGGGATTAAAAATTATGTTAATTAGGATAAATATTGAGAAAGTATTAAAGCTTTATTACAAGACAAACCAAGCAACAAAAGAGTTGCTGACTATTACAACTGCTACAAATAATACTTTACAGTGACACTCTGTGTTGCATATGGTGCTTAGAAGCTACATAATTACACTCATTTAATCATCCTTGACCTATGTATTTTCATTACTTTGGTGCATACCATTAAAAATGAAGTGCTATCAAAACATGACATTAGAAATAATTTAGTATTTCCTATTTCAGACACACACAAAAAAATAGATGATTAAGTGCTACCTATGAGGGAGGTCATTCTAGTTAAAAACAGGACAAAGTGTGGCACAAACACATGAATCTGCTTGTTTCCCAGTCGTCTCTTTATCTGTTCCTTTTCCAATCCATGTGTATTTTGAATAAGGCATTAAAAGTGTAATCCTGATTTCCCTGGTAATCTAAATGGGAGATCTGGCTGCAGGAGAAATCAACCCTCAGCTTCAGGGCAGAGAGAAATCAAAAGTAAAATGCCTGGAAGCCTTTGCAGGTAAGCAGTTTTAGTATAAAGGCTCTTGTTTTATTATGCATGGAATATCATTCTTTGGGTTCTAAAGGACTTTAATCAATGTTCAAGGGTTTTTAAGAAGCTCATTATATATCTCTTTTCCAGGATTATGAATATTTGCAAATGAGGTCACGTAGCAAAGCTTCAAAGGCTAAAAAGTTAGATCAAGATATATTTTCTAAAACTCTTGAAAATATTTCAAAATCAGAAGTGCTGCCCAATATACATTGCCACATTCAAAGTGTCAGCATTCTCTTTGAATTCTAGCAACATCTTTTTTTTAATATATATATATATTACTTTTTTCCTTCCTTGTTGTTTTCCTATGATGATGGTTACATCTGCACCATTTTATCCAAAAGTAAGCAGTGAGAGTTTCATTTAAATAAAATTAAAATAAAGGTACAAAATTAAAGCTTCATATACTAAAGACTGAGCTAATTAATTTAACTTACTAAGCAACAGTGTGCAAGGATTAATAAATATAATTAGATTATGGTTGAGCACCTCTATGGCAGTTGTGTAACTATCCTTTCTAAGAAGTATTGTGTTTATTAGAGGAACTAAAAAAAACACCCAAAGCTGGATCAACAGGCACTTCACAGATTTATAAAAGTATCTTGGAGTTACAACTTCAGTTTTCTAAATCTGTGTATGGTGGTGTATCAGTATTTTGCACAGGTAAATGTATTCAGTGTTCAGGTATATTTTATACATATTTTTATATACACAATATTTTTGTATATTGTGGGTGGAGGGGAATGAGAAGTTCTTGTGAAAACTCTCCAGAGGGGAGAGTGGTTGGTAACAGTACAAAGAAAATGGGAAGGCAGATTTGATACATTCAGAGCATGTCAAAGAAGGCTTAGCACCAGAAAAAATACTCACCCATAATGATTTATTAATGGTGCTGAAATTGTACCATTCATTTGTTAAAATGAATATGCTTGACTGGAGATTTTCCTGTCAGTCTATATATTTTGATTATATGCACCACACAGCTCAGCAGTAAATTACTGCAATTAACTTTGATTCCTTAGGATCCACAGCAGAAGCATATCCACGTCTCGTGGCAGAATCTAGAATTCAACTCTAAATTCTTGTCTAAAGTGCTCGTGCAAAGCAAGTGGTTACTTTGAAAAGTGCTGACAAACTTCAGCAGAAATTCTACAGAGATCTAAGGCAACAGTGGTTGCTAAGTTTCTCATAAGAAAACAACTTTCTAAAAAAATCCAGAGAAAATTTAGCGTATCCATCACAGTAACGTTTGGAAAAGAGCTGAACAGCTTGAGTTCATTTCTTAACAAACACCTTCTGCACTCAGCCACCATTTTGGTGTACCAAATACAGACACTCCAGTGAGAATCTTAGCTTACAGATAGGATGTTTGCCATGCTGTTCCTTTGAAATTTGAGTAGCACATCCCTGTGGAAGCAGCACCGTTCCATCTGTGCAGCTCCAGAGTGAGACACTTCCTCTCCAAACAACCTGTGGAGCTCGCTTGTTTGGGGCTGTGACTACAAGAGAACTTGACACAAAACAAACTGCAGATGATCACATGCATGAAGCAGCTCTCTAGGAGAAACTTACAGCCCTGCTTTGGTGAGGACAAACCACACATCGGGTGTCAGCAGGGGCTGGGACAGGGACAAGATAAAATACCAGAACTAGGGAAACTAAGAGAGGCTCCCCAGTAGGTCTGCCAGGAAACAGCAAATAACAACTCACCCTCTGAGTTATCTCTGACAGTCTGAGAGAGTCAGCACAGTCATTTATTTCTGCTAAAGAACTCTTAACAGTTCCCATGTATGACATATGCTCTTCTGGTCTTGTTTTCATAACTTCCCAGTGAACTACTGGGCAAGTCCCAATGCTGAATGAATTTAACTTACAAAATAAGCGTGCTTTTGTGATTTGTAAAAGTTACTGAGTGGAACAACTAATGGTGGCAATAACACTAGAGTATATCTCACAAAATGATATAGGGATAGTAGAAATAATGGAGAATTTTGTCATAACTCACAAATCCTGTCAATAGATCATTCACAGGCAAAAGGCAGCAGGAACTGGACCAAATCTACTTGTCAGTACTTGCTTTTGCTCTCACAGTAGAGTTCAGAGACCACAAAAGCACTTGGTCCTCTTTTGTTAGTGCACAAACAGGAAGGAGTTTACAAGCTGTGACACCACTTACTCCATCTGACTCCACTCGGAAGAACAGCCAGCAAAATTAAAAATGTCCACACATCCCAACCACTCACAGCTCCAGCTGTGGTCTGGCTGCAGGAAGACCATGCCCTGGGAACTGAAATGGCTCTGGCACACTTCTATCTGCCATTCGGCTCCAGATGTGGGCAGATGATAATGGTATTTTTTAACATTGCCAAATTATTCACTATGGTTTTGACAAACACGGTAAAGTCATGGCTAAGATAGCTACTCCCTTCCCCCAAAAATATCAGCAAATACCCCCTGCAGCTCCTTAATAAAGTTAACTTGCACCATTCATCTGGTAAATAAAAACCCCTGGAAAATGGAAACAATGAGAAAGCATCCCATGCATATTCAGGGAGTTGTAATTGCTATGGAAACCATCTCTGGTAATAGTGTTGCTTCAGAGCATCAGAGGCAAATCAGAATAAAATGACAGCCAAACAAAGTGTAATACTGCCTGAGACTTCAAAGTGAAAAACTGAACAGGGAATTAAACCACAATGTAGGAAAAGCCTTCATGTTCTCCCATCTTCCAGGTTCTTTTTGGAGCGTGTTTCTGGGCATGAGCTCTTTGGTGGTGTTTTCTGCCTGGGCTTCCCCAGCTGCTGCTGAAGCAGCACTGAGGGCTGGCAGCATTGCTACAGTTGTTACAGGAAAAGGAAACAGTTTCTTCAGCCTAAAACTAATCGGATTTTAATATCAGAAATTTTGGGAAGCCTGAAAACGCGTAACTCCATTCTAGCAGAGGTGTTTATTTTCAAGCCTCAAACAGACTGATAAGAGGGTCAAAGAGGGTAACAGGGTCAAGGATTCCGAGACCATTGATCATTAGCATTATTTTAGATGTTAGAATATTATATGCCTTGCTTTCATTTCTTCTATACGAAATATTATCAATTAATTTTACTCTATTTGTACCACATGAACATGTTAATGGGCAGCTCACAGTATTTTAACCATTTCATGTCATTTCCTTGCAGCAGGTTGCCCACTGATACACCAGAGCTTATCCCACTACTGTTCCTAATCAACCCCAGTTTTCAATTTATTTGCTAAATAAAATTAGTAAATGCAGTATGCCAACATCTACCAGTCCAAATTATGCCCAAAGTCATTTCTGCAGATGCTCTCGCCTTGATTCTCTCTGGGTACATA